TCTACCATCCGAAACAACCTCCAAAGAATCATAGAGAAAAAGCAAGAACCACAAAGAAGCCAAGTAAAAGAGGAAATGGAAACATACAAAGGAATCGAAGTTAGCCCACAATTAAAAAATGAGCTAAAAACAAAGGAGGACAGAATGAAAACATAGAAATTAATCGAAGCATATACAGACAGATCCGTAGAAGAAATAGGTACATACAAATGCAAGATGGGAGTGGGATGGCTAGCAATCAACAAAGAAACCAATGAAGAAATAGATTTTTCAGCAAGAGTACGAGACTTTCCATTATCCACCAGGGCAGAACTAATAGCAATCCTTAGCCTACTCAAATGCATACCAACCAAGGCAGACGTCAACATATACACAGACAGCAAGGCAGCCATACAAAACGTGACAAAAGGAAAAAGCGGGAACAAAGCCATGACATACACACCCAACTGGATAACAATTACACATATAAAAAGAGCCATCAAAGACAGAACAGGAACAACAAATCTAATCAAGGTAAAAGCATACACAGGAATCATAGGAAATGAAAGAGCAGACAAACTTGCCAAAGAAGGAGTACAGAAAGGTGAAGAACAGGAAATAAGGATAAGCCAACCAACAGAGGACACACAATTCAGCATCACTTGGAAAGACACAACCCTAGATACAAATATAAACAGCTTCATCAAAAGACAGCAAAGCTCACGATGGCTGGCAAGATGGTTAACCCAAAATCGACACATGGCATGGATAGATGGCAGAGAAAAAGAAATAGATTGGAAAGCGACACATGAGACACAGCAACCAACTCCAATCACAAACAACAAAACAAACAAACAAGACCATTCAAGAAAAAACTTCCACTACAGAATGCTTAACGAAGAACTTCCAACTTTGGACAAATTAGCAAAGCGAAGACCAGATATATACAAAACAGCAACATGCCTGAGCTGTAAATGCAAAATAGAAACACATCAGCACATGATACATAATCACTGGAAAGAAAGTATCACTAATGAATACAACAAAATCGTAAAACAAGAAACCAGCGCTAGGGTTAATAAAAGAAAACACAAAGAAAAACACTATCAGTTCAACAAAATCATAGACTCCGAACACACAAGAACACTAATCACAAAAGCAGTCTTCACAAAAGAAACTATCAAGTATATCAAAAACAGAGTAGGACAAAAGGTCACAGAAACATGCAGAGCAATCACAAACCAAATGAACAAAAACTAAAGGAATGGTGGAAAGACAGATGTGAGAAAACAGCAAAATGGGAAGCAGAAAACAACATCACAGCAAAAAAGAAGAGGGGAAAGAAAACGAAGGAAAAAGAAAATTCAGCAGAAGGAAAGAAGACCGGTATACGCAACACAAAAGAAAAAGAAGCAATAGCAATCAGTTGGGCGGAAAAGATGACAAGATAGTATACAAAATACAAATGGAACGCAGAACAAAATAACTACTCATACATACTATTTATTAACACTAATGGAGCCTTGGCATATTAGTTTTTGATCGCTTTTCTTATTGCACTGCAATAAGAATAAATCAAATAGCTCAAAGCCGATATTTGGTATTCCTGATATAGTCCGATATATAAATAGAAGTGAAGTTATAACATTAATGTATACAAACTTGTAAATAACTAATGTAAACATCACAAACTAATAAAGTATACCGGGCAAGGCCCAGCTAGTGTTTAAAAAAAAAAAAAAAATCTAATACTAGTTTGTCTATATATATTATTTAAGTAGTAAGAAAAATAAATATTAAAACATTATACATCTAAGATAATACTGAGCAGTTATAAATACCTACCTAGGTTTATATATAAAAGAATTATAAAAAATAAAAAATTGAAGAAAAAAAGAAAATATCAAAGAGATAAATACAAAAAAACTAATTGTAAAGCTATAGATATTTTGGATAAAATTATTAGATATGCCATGCTAATAGTTTTATTTAACTGAAGCATAATAATTGCGCTTTCAAAAATAGCTAGGCTACTGTCCAAAGTATACAATAGTGTTAATAATATATTTCTTTAATAGTTAATTAATTGTAGAGATGTTGTTATTGTTGTGATATAATTATTAATTAGTTTATTTGTTGGTAATATGATTTTGTTTTGATTGTTGTTATCAAAAAAGATTTTATTTATATCAATTAATATATGATGTTTTGATTGTATAAATTTGTTTAAAAAATTAATAATGTTTAATTAGTTGAGTTTGAAATATTGATCAGTTGACAGGAATAAACTGATTATAGTTTTTTAATAAAAAATTTTTTGTGACATAGTATTATATGCTGAGCAATGTTGAGAAAGTAGATATTGAATATATTGCTAATGCTTCAAGCCAGCTATATAAACAATATTGATATCAAGTTTAGTTTTTGAAATAAAGAAACAACTCATTAAAAAGAAAATTTGTTTATTTAATAAAAAATGTGTATTAGTAAAAAGTAAAAATGGAAAAAACCCCAAGAAAAATTTATAAAAAAGCAATTGCTATAGGCTTTTTCTCATGCAATCCAAGAAGAAAGCAAGGATCCCAAACTTGTTTTCTCTTAACTAGAGATTTTATTCCAATGCATTAGTATATTTCTTTAGTTTTTTTAAGATTCTTGTAGCAAAGATAAAAGAGATGTGTAAGGTTTTTGGATATTGAAAGATAAAAAAAATATTTGTTTCTTTAATTTTAAGAAAAAAATTAATATAAAAAGAAATTTTTTAATTATTAATTGTTTTATTAAAATATATTCAAATCTTTTATATTTAATATAAAAAAACTTAAAATTTTTAATTATATAATTATTAAGTTATTTTTTTAGGGGGTTTTCCCAGTAGATAAACATTATTTCTTTATTTTAATTTGTATATAACAAGGTATACTGTTATGGTGAAATACGGCAAGTCTGTTGCTTCTGTTTTGTCTATGCTATACTATGTTTGAGAATGGTTTCTTCTCAAAAGAGATGTGTATATTTGGCTCGAGTTTAACAATGATGCAGGTCAATCTGTTGATTGTGTGTCGTAACTGCCAACCTCCTGTGTGGTCACTTCTTTGTTTAATAACACTCTCAAGATAGATAGCCTTTTTAGTATGCAGTGCCTATCCTCCTTCCTTGCCATATTTTTATATTGTCATCTTATTTTTATACTTTTTATACCTGATATAATTTAGCCAGCTTTGGACTTATTATCCAACTTTATACTTGTTGTCTATATTGTACTTGATAATTACTTGTTATACCTGCTAAATATTTAAAGATACTAGAATATACTAGAAATACTAGATATCTTTTGCATATCTATCATATTACTTTTTATATTCTACTTTATTTTACTTTTATTTTTCTCATTATTTATATAGTTCAATTTTCACTTTAACAATGGTATTTCAAAAAAAAAAGAGAGGCCTAAAAAGAAAAAACCTTCAAGGGAAAAGGAAAAAACAGAAAAGAACAATTTGAAAAAGAAAGTTTATAAAACAGAAGAGAAGAGAAATAGGGAAAAAAAAGTGATAGAAAAAGAGAAGGAAGCAAAGAAATAAATAAATAACTTAAAAGTTTTCTAAAAAGAAAATTTTCAAATGTTTGGAGAGGAGTGGGAAAGAGTTTTTTTTTTTTTTGAAAAGTTATAATTATTATAATATATACAGTATATATATTTTTGGTGAAGTGTTTAGTTTAGCAAGTATAATGGTATTAATATAAATGATTTTTATAATATAATAAAAGTAAGAAGAGGTACAAGAGAACTGTTACAAATCTTTCTTCTTATAACCAAAGAATAAGCAAGATTTTCAAACTTAAATAGATTTTAACTAGAGATTTCATTTTCCCGTACCAGTTGTCTTAAAGGTTTTTGAATTCTTGAATTAGACTTACTTGTGATAAAAAAAGTAAAATATTTTTTTTTAACAAAATTTACTATAAAAAAATTTTTTTTAACAAAATGGATATAATCAGATAAGAGTTTTTTTTAATATTAAAAAATTTTTATTTTTTTTAAATTTTTTTAAAATTTTAATTATATTAGAATTTTTAAATAATAATTGATCAAAAATTTAAATTAATTAATATATAACAATAAATATAATCAAATATAATCTTTATATATTTTATCTTATATAATAATAAATATATTAATATATTAATTATAATAAAAAAAAAAAAAACTTTTTCCTGTCCATTACTATATTTTCTAATTAGGAAATTTTCTTCAAAAAAAAAACATTTCAAGTCCTCTTTCCAAAACACTTCAAACTTTAAGATACATCTTTATTGTCAGGTATAACAAATTAAAACCACATTAAACTCTATTAACTTATCAATTTATAGATTATAAAAGTAAGCATCTTTAGCTTATTTTCTTCTTGCAAAAGAAGAAAATAAAAATCAAACTTCCTGATTCACAGAAGATCTCAGGAAGTCAGCATCCCTACCACTACTATAGCCAATCATGTGCCAGATTAAACACCTCCTCTAGACACTGTAGAAATCCAAAAAAAGTCAGATCTTATTCAATAAATCAAACAACCTTACTACCTTCCTTAAGTTAGAAGGATGTCAGACTTCACATCATCTTTATAAAGATAAGAGAAAAAACCTTATCATATATACACCAATCCATAAAAACCAAAACTAGTTTACCCCCTCCAAAATCAGTGTACCACAAACACATTCTTCAAAAAAATAATTCCAATAACAACAAGTAAACAAGACCCATACGTGTTATATAAACAAAGCTTACATGCCTTAAGTAAACAAGACCCTTATGTGTCAAGTAAACAAGATTCGTATATACAAGACTTAAAACTTTAACAATATAACATGTCATATTAGTCATATCAAAACAACTTATCAACTAAACTGTATCAATGTATACATCAACAAACATACTTATATTAAATTACGTTTACAGCAAGCACTTTATTAATTAATTTCTATCAAACATCATATTTAACAAATAATATGTGACAACACAGAATAAACCAAATATCATAACAAGAAAATCTAATGGTACCCATGGCCAATCACACTATATACAAACTTTCCATTGCAACATCTCTTTTGTCAACCATCCAAATCATTCAACACACCACACCAATAATACTGAAGACTACAACAGCCAATAACATACCACCTATAACTTCTCCTATTCTCTTGGATATAGTGTTAATAGAAAGAAGCAAACAGCATATGTCAATCGTGTATCAGGACCCTCAAGGCATAATCATTACCACCAATCCTTTCAACATTTCCACTATTTCATACCTGCCAAACCATCTATCCAGATGGCTTATACCCACATCCAACCTAACTAAAAAAACAGAAAATCTCTCTGTATTTCAAATTGAATTCTTTTCCAATCAAGATAAGAAGAGTCTTTCTATAAAAAAAAATTATTTTATTAGAAAAACTCTTTCTGAAACGCATTCACATCTGAATAAAATTATCAAAAAAGAAAACAAAAATTTTTTCTTCAAAAAAAACCATAAAGGATCCTGAAGGGTTTTCTTCATCCTCCAAGGGTCAACCCATTGAATCAACTCACACCTTACTTGACGTTCTTATTACCGATGTCGACAAATGCCTAGCTGTAATCTTTCACAAAAACAACAATACCAACATCGTCTACACCACCAACCCTACTGCCAACATTTGCTTTCCAAAATTCGAAAACCCTCCAAAAGCATGGCTAATACCAGTATGCCTCCAGGAAGCTGACCGCAAAGTAATCAAAGTAATCTCAGTGTTCTTCAAAGTACACAAAAAAAGATTAGGGAATTATTACACTGAAGTTAAAACCAGCATTTTGGATCCTATGTCACTGGAAACAATGAACTCTTTTTTCGAATATCACCACCTTTAATTTATCTGACAATGACAAGCTAGAATTATAAAGGAACTTCTTAAACAAAAACTCACATACAGACTTCATGTCTCTTGAAATAAAATCGACATTAATATCAATGAAGCAGCCAAATCTTTCTCTCTGGAGCGAAAAACCGAAATACCCATACCCCCTCCAAACATTCCAGCTCTAACTGGGGAAATGATCAACAACAATAACAGTATGCAAATTGATTGTGATGATGATACAACACATGCGCTTACCCTGAGTACAATGTCAATCAAACCAGCCCTTAAGCAAACACAAGCATCATCCCACAGGTGCATGCAGATTACTTCACCAATAAATCCCAACACATAGACCCACAGGACATACAGTCAATCAATACCAGTATGAAAATTGATGAGCATCACTCCTCCAACCAATCAGAGGACACCATAGAATCATCTTCCACATCATGAGCTGATGAAACTAACCAACATCTCGAAGCGAGCAGCAGCAATTCCTCCCAAATACAGCAGATATCAGGAGCACCCCAAAACTAAGCAAACAAGACAAAATTCTAAAATTGTGCAATGAAATTGACCAGTGTGACAGGACAGCTAAGTCCATAGTAGAACTTTTCATCAAAATCAAAAGCCAACCGACCGGACCACCAAGAACCTCACTAAAAAGAATTTTCTCCAAAATCAAGTATAGAGATCGCGACTTCTTTAGAACTTTTGCAAAAGACGAGTTAATCAAGGGACAACACCAACGAGAATACAAAAAAGTAGAAAAAGAATTTCATAGCAACTATTTAAAAGCAAATAACGTGGAGTATATCACCAGAACAACCAAGAAAAAAATCAGAATTATTATCAACAAGGCCCTCTTCATAGCATATCTCAGGTCAACAGACCTAGCTCTTCTTAAATATTGGCAAGTTGCACAACTTCTGGAATACAGCTTTAATTTTTTTATGGATCCAAGCCTTGGAAAAATTGACTACAATGAAATCTATGAAAACTGTAAAAAAATGATTAAGGAAAACCTCACTGATTTTCCAAAAAACCCAGCTGACATTTCAAAATCAATAAAAGTGTGGCTCCCAAAAGCTATACCAATCACTTCCACAAAAGATACAAGTGAAATTGCAGGAAGTCTCAGAGTCTTCTACAACTTTGAGCTTCTTCCAACAACATATTTTGTTAAAAAACCTGACCTACCTCTTAACCCAAGCACCCTCACACCCATGGGCAAACACAAATTTCCACTAACAAAAGAGAAGAGCTACTAGACCTTAAAACACATGTAGACAAACTCAGAGAAGACTACTATATGCCTGGAAAACTTCCTGATACATATTTCAATCTTCCATCACCAAAATTAACTCTTCCACTCTCCTATAGAGACTTATCTCTTCACTTAGCAAGACAATTTCCAGTAGATAATAGCATTGAAAGCTTTAAAAAAGGAGTCAACCTTTTAAGAGATAACAACTATGCCGTCAAGCGCTTACCACTAGATTACATAATGGTGAAGTGCCCTCTCCCCCCCTCACACTGGTATGGTGAAAACAATGCCATCCTCCTGCCCATCACTGTATAAGATGAAGCAGACAAACTTATAAAGGACCTCAAGTCAAAGTTCTTCGTAAAACTTCCATTGGGATCTGAATGGATCAACGAAAACTTAACTCAATCTGACAAACCAAAGCTTCCAGCCGAATTAAGTACAGTAGAACAAGAACTTAACATTAAAAAAAATCAACTAGATAGAAACTCTCCCAACTTCAGACAAACGATTACCAAAATTAAAAACAACTATAGAGAGACCTCCTTAAATGCACCCTCTATAAATGCACTTACTATATTTTCTCTTTCTAAATGCATGGTCAAGCTTGGTCCCAAGTACATAGAACTCTTAATAAAATTACCTCCATAAATGCATACTCTCTATAAATGCACATTTTTCAAAAATTTTCCTATGGTCCCGAGGGTGTGCATTTAGAGAGGGTTCACTGTACACAGGCGCAATACCAAGAGAATGGATCACACCCCTCTTATCAACACTTCCTGACATAAACGAAACAAACAAAATCCTAATTAACAAAAAGATTCAATTATCAGTATCATTATTGGATAACTCTCAACTTAGCGAAAAAATCAAAATTCTTGGCACCCACTTCCACTTCGACAAACTACCACAAGACTTCATTACCAAGCCTAAGTCACCTGAGCCAAAGTTGACTCTCCTTCCAATACTCATCTAAACATGACAGAAGAGTCCAACTCAAACCACTCCTTAGAAACCACCTCGTCTAACAACTTATCCACAAACACTAACAATTCAATCAGATCCAACTATCAAACATCATCTGCAACCTTCTCCTGCTACACAAAAAATCTTATCACAATCTCAACACTTAATGTTCAAGGCCTCAACTCTCGAGAAAAACTCCACGAGCTAACCAAAAGCATTACCAATGAAAGAAACATCCTTTGCTGTTCTGAAACCAAAACTACAAAACATAATTCACTACCAAAATCATTAAACAATATCACCATTATTATAAGCCTACCAAGTCAATCAGCATGCAATGGATCCACTATACTTCTAATCAAGCCACTTAGCAACCACGTTTTCAAAACCTTTGCAATCAACGAGTTCTGATATGCAGTCCACCTTAAATTCAAACCAAAAGTAAATATAATAATCATTTCTTGCTACCTACCCCATGATATCGACCAGCGCAAAAAAGCAACAAAGTCCCTAAAAAACTTTATCAAAGAACATAGCAAAAAACATCTAGTTCTCGCAAGTGATTTCAACTCATATCCGACTACTGCTCCTCACATCAATGCTCAGACTCTTCCTCACAAAAGACAAATCTACAGATTTCTTTACAAGTTTACTGATATTGCAAAGGTTACAAACAAAGAATCTTTCTATACATACATCACCACCATCAGCACATCGAGAATTGATCAGATTTGGCTCTCCAATAACATAGCTAGCAAGATTCTAAGTTACAAGGTCCATAGCTAACACCACATTACTACTGACTATAAACAAGTCACCACAATTCTAGATTGGTTTGAATACAAACCTAACAGAATTTCCTTCAATACCAGAACATATAACTTTACCAAAGCATCACTCGAAAACATCAATGCCTTTCAGGAGGATATCAATACCAAGTGTTCACTACAAAACTTTCTCTCTTGGGAACAACTCAACAACATTATTAAAAGAGCCATGGAGGATAACATTCCAAAAAGAGATCAAGCCATTCCAATGCAATCACCAGATCCTATAAAATCTTATCAAAATGCAATTAAGGCCACCAAAAAGGCCATTAACAAAAGCAAGTCCAATAGCCCTATCAACAAGCTACCACCAATTGCTAACAATATCCTACAAAGAATTTCAAGCAGACCACCACACCTTAAAAGTTTGAAAAAATTAATGAAAGTACTTATTAGAGAGAAAATCACAAAAAGCAATGAAATAATACTACAAGAAATTCAAAAGAGCTACGAACTAAACTATACAAGATTCTAGTCCAAACCAAAAAGCACACTCAAAAAAGCATTGGGCGATCTAAAACTCTTTTTTGATCTATCTATTTTGCAGGGTGAAGATAATCAACTTCACGATGACCCAGACAAGCTCATCGAAATAATCACCAACCACTTCAAGAAAATACTGAAACCAAGCTCTTTCAACCTTGACACAGACTGGGCCAACGAATATCTTCCTATAAAATATATTCCAGATAACATCTTCGACAACATGACATCAGAAATAAGTCTACAAGAAATTGACAATGCCTTAAGTGACTTACCCAAACATAAAGCCCCAGGCCTGACCCTTATTTCCTACGAAGCCTGGTTCCTGCTTGGTGCCCAGCTAGAAATCACATCAGAATACTTTTCAACAAAGTATTAAACTCAAACACAGTTCCTAAATTTTGGAAGCAATCGGCCATCATACTTCTTTCAAAAAAAATCATTTGGTCACATGACCTTACAGACACACGACCAATTTCCCTAATCGAAACTAGCAGAAAAATTTTCATCAAAATCATGAACAACAGATTGTCACAAATGATCACTAACAACAATATTCTCTCCAGATTCAACTTTGCAGGCCTTAAAAACCAGAGCACTACATAGCCTATCACCATTATCACTTCAGACATAAACATAGCCAACAACAGTAACAAAGAAATCTGGATCACCTCTTTCGACATCTCCAAAGCATTTGACTCCGTTAACTTGTCAAGCCTACATAAAGCTCTTAAACGCATCAAACTTGTACCGAAGCTTATCTTAATCATCTTAGATCTACTCAACAACAGGAAACTCAAAATAATAACTTACTACAAACTTACTGATCCCTTAGTAGTTAGCAAAGGCCTTAACCAAGGTGAGACATTCGCACCACTCCTTTGGACAATCTTCTATGACCCCATGGTTACTAGAATCACAAGAGAACATCAGTCATCCACAAAAATCTTAGCATACATGGATAACATGACTCTCTCAAGCCACAACATGACATCTCTTCAATTGGTCACCAACTCTTTTTGCTTCTTTTTATCTCTTAATTCTATCAAATGCAACAAAAACAAAACAGAACTTATCACAAACCTCAGCACAAAAAGTCCTAAAAGAAAGCAGTTCCTACTAATTAAAAATAAACAAATATTTCCCAAACATTACAACGACTGTATTAAGTACCTTGGAATATACCTCTCTGGCAAGTCAACTATCTGATCTACCAAAGCAAAACTCTATAAAAAGATCCGCGACTTCTCAAACGCAATAGCTTTCCAAAAAGGTTGGAATGGCCACATCACTCATCAGGCATCATATTGGATTATACTGGCTCAACTCGAGTATGCTATAACAGCTACAATCCCATCGGACAATGAAATCAATATTCTATAAACAAACATGAACAAGTCTATCAAAATCAAGCTAGGTGTCGAATGCACTATTTCAAATAAAATTTCTTACTCACAGGCAGGCCTCAATATCATTAAACTTTAAAACTGTAGAGACCTTACAACCATAAAAATTTTAGTCATCAAACTCACCAATCCTATTATACGACCCTCAACAATTAAAGAAATCCAATCAATTCAAGCCTCACATGCCATTTGGTGCTGCCCCATATGCCAACCACACTACTTCTCCGACTTATGGCTTATTACAGCAGCCACTCTTGCAAAAAGATATAAAATCAAAATTTGCTCTTACCCATGCCCTTTTAACCTCCCAAATCATGAGTACTCCATAGAACTAACAATTAAACTTAAACTAACTGCCCTCCACCTTTCAAACTCCAACATCAAAACTACTTACAACACATATGTCCTTAACAAAAATTACAAACTCTCTTGGGACGAGCTACATATCCACAGAGGCTTTATAACCTGAGGTCCTATCCCATCATGGTTCACCAACATCCCAGCCCAATCAAATGCCATAATTGGTGACACTTCCTTTCTTTCTAATCCAAAAAGAAAATTCTGGGCCTACCTGGACAACCAAACTATTAACCTAATTAAAACAAGATCAAATGCACTCTTGACAACTGCAATAATAGGCCAACATTATATAATCGATGACCAAAAAAGAATTCACAAATGTTCGTGTCCCACCCAACCTTGCCTTAAAGAGAAAAACATTGAAAACCTCAAATTAATCTGGTCCATTATACGACTCAACACTTTCTATATTCTCAATAACCTAAACAAACTTAAGGATTCCTTTAATCCTATTCTCCATGCAACCCCACAAGTCACTATTATTACCAATACTCAACACAACTTACCAACTATCACTCATATTTTTCCTAGCAACAATAATGATCTAGTTGTCTTAAATCTTAATACTACAACACATTATGCAATAAACACAAACTTCTGGTCTGCCTTCTGGCCAGTACTCTATCAAACATTAGATAATATCTCTCAATCATCCACTATCAAAATATACTTAAACAATATACCTGATCTATCAGTGCCTGATTATATAAACAGGTGAATCAAAATCCCATATAGCCATTTCATTAGTAACTTCAACGACATTGTCAAATCAAAAAATCTAACTATATATTGGCTCAAACTCAAAAATGAACAACCTCCACCACACAATATCACATCAACAATAACAACACCTCTATTAATTCTCTTTTCAACACACACAACCTCTCCTCTAATTAATAACAAGCATGCCACTAGCATAGTCCACTGAATAAAGTTCATCAATTTTTATACAAATCTATTTGATATCCTGTTAAGCCAAACCTCATGCTTTAGGCCTTCAATGCTTCTCAATCTTGAAACCGTCATTAAGGTCAACAGAAAACTTAAAAAACTGAACCAACTTAAGTACAGAGCCTTATCTACTTTCAGAACCAAAATTATAGTCAACCAGCTCACCACCAGATTAAAACTAAATAGAAGATATCCCAGCTTATATACCGATGATTTCTGTCCCAGGTGCGAAGCTTTTACCGAGGACATCCCACACATTTTTTCTTGCATACACAACCACTCCCTTATTAACAAAAAAAAGCCCAAATTACAAAAACTTATTCTCGAATCTAATAATAAAAACTCAACAACGGCGAATCCGAGGAACACACCCAATCTATCAAGTCAAGATCTAATCCACCTTGCCACATGCAACTATCAGCCCCACCTCAATACATTCAAAAAAGGAAAGAGGAAATCTCTAACTATGCTCTAAAAATTCTATATAAAGCCTGGAAACAACGATCTGCAACCTCAACAACTTCACCATCCTCAGGAATCACATGGAGAAAACCCCCAAATACTACTCTCAACAATAACAACAACTTAATGAAAAATAACAACTCAGTATTTATTAAAGTACTTAATATACTACAAAATTCAAATAACCTTACTAACAAACAAATATTTACTCCAGCAATAGTTTCATCGTTCTGAACAGGCATTA